AAAGGACCTGCCACACACACACACATTACGTGGGTTAGGATTTGGATACGAGTTCGGGTTCGTGTTCCTTTTTTGCGGTTTTTGCATTTGGTTTAACTTAACCGTTAAGTACCCTCTCCCTCTGCAAAGCCGCGCAACCCCTTGGGGCAGCTTCTTGGGCGGATTCAGTCCGACGTCCGACCGCCTTTCAACACCTTCAACAAAGCGTGAATTAAGTGCTCGAGATTTTCTACACTTAATACAACTGCCCCATGCCCATGCCCATGCCCATGCCCCTGCCACACTGCTGCGGCTGCTATCCCATTCAACATGTGGCTGGGCCGAGTTCTGCCACTCTTCTTACGCTTCCCAGTTAATTGCACAATTAGCTGGTTTTTGTGGAACATCTGGACAACTGTGTCGCGTCTCATTAACTCTGATCTGACGACTGCCCCTCGTGTCCACAGTGAGAACGGCGCCGGGTTGGAGAGTGCGGAGACATTTTTAATTGCATTTAATCAACAAAAATTAAACGAAATACACTAAAACATGATATAAAATTAGCAGAAGTTAAAGCGAACAAATTCCTGAAATAAGCGAAAGAAATTCCATCATTGCTTTGATCAATTTGGGGTTAATTTATATAACTGAAAATGTGATAAAAAATTCGAGTAACATTTTACTTGGATAATCAGCTAAAACATCAAATAGGAATTGGCTTACACTGGCCATCCATTGAAATGGCAGGGGAGTCTGAAGAACAACTTGATCTTCCAATATTTCTAACCCCATTCGTCTCTGAAGATAATTACCCAAGCACGACACACTTACATTTACACTTTATTTATCGTTTGTATCTTTGACAATCCATACATCCATCCATCAAGCATGATTGGACCTGTAGAACTACCCCCGAAACTGTAGGCTTTACATCTTCTGCGATGCACGCAACGTACTAGTACGAGGCACTGTTTTTAATTGCTAATTGAGCAAAATACTTTATGGAATAGAATTAATTATGGTTTCATGTTTTTGGGCACCACAAAAATTCAACTTATTTCAGTTTGTTTCTCTCTTTTTCTCTGAATGTCTCACGCGAAAGCATAAATTGTTTAATTACTAATTAAGAATAGGAAACGGCAATATGGCTATGTGGCAGGGGCAGTAGCAGTAGCAGCAAACGATAAATGTACAATAATGAATTAGAAGGCGAATCGAAGGCATCTGAGACATTATTTTGCCAGAGAGGTTCGTTCTCATTTTAGCGTGTGACAATTCGCATTAATTACGAGAAATGCTCCAAAAAAGAACCCATTAAATGTGGAGGGGAATGATACCCAGAGGGGTACTGGGGCGCACTTTCATTTCGCCACAGCCGGGGGATCCCCATTCCCTTTTCCGAGCTGCCGTTGCCCCACTTGGCGTGTTTTAGGCTGCTGCTGCTGCTGCTGCTGCTTGGACACTTGTGACATTTTCTTAATTGAAATGATGCGCGTTCGTTGATAAAATTTCGTTGCCTCCTATATAGCATTCCCCTCTACACAGATACATATACATACATACATTTGTATCTGTATCTTCTCTTTGTATATAGTATTTCTGTGGACCACTCTCTTTGCACGTTTTTGTTGATGATGATTATTATTACTCTTCATTATTGTCCATTATTAAATGAGCCAGTATCTCCGTCGCTATCTATCTCGCTCCTCTCTCTTTCTCTCACTTGCGTGCCGATCAGTTTTTGTGTAGGCTTTGTGGCATGTGCGGCATGCAAGTTTTTGGTGGCCTGAAAAAAGAGTCAAAGAATATGACACGATCATCTCCAAATGGAAACACTCGTAAATGTAGGAATAATTCCGCATTTCGAATTTTCCTTTGTAATGAAATTGAAAGAAATAATACGGTTGAAATAGATATTTAAGATAGTTTTAATATAAGAAAAAAGCAAAGATCATGTTTTTCATTATCGAAAACTATGACAAAGAATCAGATTTATGGATACATATATGTACAATACGAAAAATATACAAATGTACAAAATATGTGTCGATCAAATTATATATTTATAAATAAACAGAGCGTGTTTACATTTTGAGATTAATTTTGCCATTAAAGAAATAATATATCTGTGTAATTGCATAGCAGAAAAAATGCATAAATGCATACTAAATAAAAATAATTGATATTAGCCATTCTGAAATCCAAATTTAAAATTTTATGTGCACAACAAAATTTATCAAGATAAAAAAATACCAGTTCCAACTTATAAAAAGGCAAAGCAAAGCATATATGCATTAAAGTTATTTTCCACAAGTTACCATTCAGTCATTCGATGGCACGTTTCCTTTGCCGCCAACTAGTTTCTAATTTCAGCAAATGATTTTCTTTTGATTTGCCTGCTGGTCCTTCTAATATCATTAAATTTTCGATGGCATTTTGCCTTTCACAGAGACGTTCAAACGTACTCGTACTTCTCCCCGCACTGCAGTGCTCCTTCCTGCCTCCATTATGGCCATAAATGTGCAGTTAAATGTGTTGCACAAGTTGCAAATTGGCCACACATCAAAAACCGAGAGGCATAGAGAGAGAGATAGAGAGAAATCCTTTCAAGACGAATGTTTTGAGTGTCCGCCTTCTCCGGATCTCCCCAGATTTACAGAATGCCGAATGCATTTATGGGGCATAAGTATTACTTTAATTATTCCTAATTAAAAGGCCGCCTACCTGGGGGCGTGGTCATGCAGCTGCAGCTGCAGCTTGTCCGAGTACATGTCCCGGCGGCACATAATTAAGCATTTTGCCGTTGCCGATTCTCCTTTTTTTTTTTAAACAATTTTTACGATTTCTTTGCCTACGTAAAGAGTGACAACGTGACGCGCAACAAACCAAGAGAGAGGGACATACAACGGGGGAAGTGCAATTTGCCGCCGGCTTTTGGTTATTTTTAAGGCTTGTTTGCCGCTGCATTTTATGCATTTTTATGCGTTCCCCATCCGTTTGTCATAAAAAAAGAAACTCAAGAGAGAGAGAGAGACAAACACTCGTAGACATTCTTAATTTATAAATTAATATCTAATCATTTTCGTGGTTGTTTTTCCATTTTCACAACTACTTATTTTTCGCATTAAAAGTTGTCGCAATGCGAATTTAATGGATTTCTCTGATGTGCGGAAGATCTGCCACTCACTCAAAATGAAGCATTTAAATGGACATCAGACATCATATATGTAGGCAATGCAGAGGGGTGTGGAGATGGAAATTATACCCAAAACTCATGGAATCTTAAAGCTAATTGTATTTGAAGTCAGAAAGAATAAACTAAATTCAGAAAACAAAAGCCGTCGTCTTTTTCTAAGTCATTAAAATATGTCTCCAACGAGACTGATGAAAGGTTATTATAGATACTTAATAGATAAGTTAGTTAAGACTTAGTTTTTTTTATTCCGCTTAGCGCAGAAAGATTAGAAAGATTCCCAGACCAAAGAAGATTTTTCTTAGTCTTTATATAAAATAATTTACGCAAATTTATTCATAAGCTTTACGCAAATTATAAACTAATTCTAAATAATCTTAAATAGTCTATAATTTTCCACTGACTGAGCCAACGTATCCACTGAATTTTCTTAGAAAATCTATGGAAAACAAGGATCACCAGCTTCCATTCGGCTTCCTTTGAACAAAGTTACCAGAACTTATAAGCTCCTTGAAAATATCTATACAATCTGCATTTACGGGCAGTAATTACACGGCTATAACAAGCCGTGGAGAACAAGTGGCAGGCAGCACACCACACCGTAGAACCGTCGAAAAGTCTCTGGCTGGCAACGACAATGAAAAGAGAATCAACAAAGAGACTAAACTCTGTATTAATTTGCAATTAATGCAGCTAATTATATTTAATTAAATGAGCGAGTCGAGCGGCAGGGCTAACAATGCACCGCACTGAGATACAGATACAGGCCCCGTGGCAGGGGCAAAAGGGGTTCAACTGCTCGTAGAACCTGTGTACTGTTCAGTGGTGGCACTGGGAAAAATGTATCGCGCAGGTTGGTCTGACTTTGAAATGAAACTGATTATTACAATTGTTGCTATTGCTACTGCCGCTATTTGTTGCTGTGAATTGTACGGTGCAGCTACTGCTGCTGCTGCTTATTGTATCTCATAGATACGTAGATACGCTTACACGCTTATTTTTTTGCACAAAAATGACACTGAGCCGCCGCAAGGCAATTGTAATAGATTTTTCGTAATTTTTTCGTGGGGTGGCATTAAACTGTTTATGTGTAGAGTTTCATTCTGATTTAATTTCAGTCGCGTATCTGGGAGATACGCCTGTCGCCTGCTGCCGCAGCTCATTGTTGCAAATTGCCATCCAGCGCTGTCCAGTGCCGCATTATTAGTATTTATTGTATTACGAGTACATTTCGTTTTATTATTAGAACGAGGCGACTATTTTCGAGTGGCACTCGCACGTACAAAATATTTGTGAATCTGTGCTTGCCTCCAGATCCGACGATAATGATGATGCTCATTTTTCATGCTACTTCTGATCGTAATTAACGTTAATTAAAGTTATTAACCGCCAGCGTTGAAGGCGCATCTGTTTATTGGTTGCACTGTTGCAGCATTAGGAATATTACCATGTCAAGGTTCGAGATTTACATAAAAATTGCATTTGGATGATGCGAACAATATCGAATCGGATTCGGAATCGCGCGTGAAGTGCGTGAGAGGCTTTGGTTGGGTTTTTTTTTTTTTGCCTGTGCTTTTAAGAGCAGAATGGGAACTTAATGAACTTTGAAGATGATTATGGGGCCATCAAAATTTGTTGAATTATAATGTTTCTATTAAGATTACGGCAAGCACTTCCTCTTTGATTGTCTTTCATCACTTTTACATATAGAAACATTAATATAAATCCTAAAATACTCAAGTTTAAACCAATTACAAGACCCAAAAGTATGCTAGAAGTTGAACAGAATATTCAGGAATTCAAGAGATAATATGATAATATTATTTACCGTTTTATTTTAGTGTTCTTCAAGTAGCAGTAGCAAAGTTGATTTTATTTTCTGGATTTCCCGAAAATGGTTCACAATTTTCTTTAGAGATTCTTTAGATATTTAGTCACAATCCAAATCCCAAGCATCCATTAGATAACAATTCATTAAGAGTATCTTCGGGAAGATGGCTATCACACACACATACACAGAGACACACACAAACACAGAGACCAGAGTCAAGATCAACTAAGGATCGTCTGCCACACACGCGACGTTGCAACGTTTCAAGCCGGGGCGCGATGCCTTTGAGGCGCGCGCGTAAAGTGAGGAAAATATCTCGAATCTCAAACGCGGATCTCGGAATTTCGGAATCTCTCAAGTGTTGGACACCGTTGCGCTGCAGTTGCATCTATTGAATGCTGCAGATAGTATTTCATGGCACGCGCTGCTCTCCAGAGTGCAGTTGTGTGTGGGAGAGAGAGTGTATGTTGATTTTTGTTTGGTTCTTGCTTCCACGCGCCGTCCGCTTTCGTCGTCGTGCAACGTCGTCCACAGCAGACTGAATGAACGTGCGGCGCACCAGACGGGCGCTTGGACCCCCAGCAATCATCAGCATAAGTAGTCGTCGAGTCGAATCGAATCGAGTCGAATCGTGTCGTCGCGTGGAACGGTCGGTTCGGGCCAGTCAGTCGACGAGTGCAACTTACGAGAAACAAAACACGAGCAAACAAGACCGTTCTTGCCGAAGCGCAAGCCGAATCATGTCCCCCCAAGCAACTGCAGGAGCAAGCGAGAGCGAGAGAACGCAAGCGGCTGGGCGAGAGCGAGAGAGCACGTCAGAGAGGGGGTGTGCGCAGGAGCAGCAACAGTATATGCACTTTTCCCTTATACCCACCCCACCCCACCCCCTCTGTCGATGGCAGTTAAAATAAAAATAATGACGTCATTACGCGCACAAATGAGCGCTGCTGCTGCTGCCGCTGCCGCTGCTGCTGCTAGCCTCAATCGGCAGGAGAAGTTTAGTTTGGACGAACACTTGACGAAGCCCCACCGAGTGAAAGAGTGAGCTATAGAGAGAGAGACAGAGAGAGAGAGAGAGAGAGAGAGAGAGCGACTGCGAGTGAGTGGTAGTTTGTGTATATGAGTGCTATTTGTGAGTGCATATTTGAGCATTTATTAGAACTGTTGTTGTTGCTGAGGGATTGGGAGGGAGAGGAGGGACAGACGGCTTGGAAAATTGTTTTTGGGCATATTTATCCATTCAATTATTACCCAAAATTCTGCAAAAGATAAAAGATTAAGATTTTGTTACCGAAAATATTTATGTAAAATAATTTAATTCTGATTTAATTTAAATCATTTTTGGAGGTGCCTCAGATTGTATTTCAGTTACATCAATCGGGTTATTGTGATCCACATAATTCGAACGTAATAGGATTATAAATCGAACGTTGAGAATGCTGTAAATAATAAAAGTCTCATATTTGTTAAGTTCCTGCGTCGAAAGCAAGTCATCAGTGGATTAATTCAAAGTAGGAAGGATCGAATGAAGAGTCCTTGCCCCAATTGCCACTTTCCGCATTAGATGTCCGGTCCGCAGCCCCGCTACCCTCTCCTTGCCGGGTGGACAACTATTGCTGGAAATTAATAATTAAAATGCCAATCCACAGCAACAGCAACAGTAAATGCTATCATCTGCAAAAACCTCACTCGACTTCCAACTCAAACCACACTGTAACCCTCTCGTGCCCCATCTCCTTCTCTGCTTGGACTCCCACAACAGACGAGTGTCCACTCAACCACCCGCATCAGCTCCTGCCACCCACCCCCTCGAATAACACCGCATTCAGAAAACCGAAAAGTGCCAATAAATATGGAAGCGTTTTGCGTTGTTCTGCCCACTTCCATCCACTCCCACTCCCACTCTCCCACTTCTACTCCAGATCCCCACTCCTCATTCAAACCCCCCTCCACATTAACACTCCATCCCCTCTGCTTCGTCTTGTGCTCCTTCTTGGGGCTCTCATTCACCCATTCCATCGATCCCTGCTCCACGGCTACCTTTTGCACTAATTCACATTTGATGTTTTGTTGTCTGCGCCTGGTATACCCTTTGCAGATGGTCCAACTGCTTGAAGCAAACCACTTGATTGCAAGTAATAAAATTAGTATATCTAAACCCCACAAATATAAGAGTACCATAAATATATGGATTGGCGGCAAGAATCACTGCCCTAGGAACCATCGCAGATCAGATAACTTTTTGGGAGACAAAATCTGTTTGATTCTGAAGGTACTATTCCAATTTCTTTGTGTATTGTATTACTCTTTTGAACGCTTTCTAATCCGACACAAGATGTGTAACACTATGTCTATAGAAACGATATATGTATATACATATTTTTAGGGTAGGGTATCTACAGCTTCGACGCAGACAGCTGGCCGTCCTGCCTTCTGGTTGCTGTTGCTGTTGTCGCTGCTTGCATTTTTCTGGTCAATGAGGTTACAGTCAAGTCACTAGACAAGCGGCCCCCCTGCACCGCTGTGCCCCCCTGTGTCCCCTAGCCCAGCCCAGGAGGCCAGGACAGGGCAGAAGATGCAGCCAGCAACTCGTGCGGTCCTCAACCGGTCGCTGTCGGCCAGTCCTAGACGGACGGATCCAAACAGGCTGCCGATACGTCCTCAGCTACCACTGCTGCTGCTGCTGTCTCTGTTGTGGCTTCCACTGCTGACGCTGACGATGATGATTCTGCTGCTGCGGCTGCCTGCTGCCGGCCACAGTCTAGCCACCCACCCGCCTCAGCTATCGGAGGTGTCGATGACGTCGTCGTCGTCGTAGTCGTCTAACTGCCGCCCCCCCTGCATCTGGGCCCCTGCTCCAGCCCACCAAATGACTTCAGGCCACTCTCCTCCACCAAAGCAGCAACCAAAACTGACTGCAACGGCCTACGCCATTCGATGAATTTGTTGTTGTTTTGCTTAATGTGATTTGTTAGGGTATATGGGAATAAAGTATTCGATTTGTAATGCTCAGCGATATTACCCATACATATATAAGGTTAAACATTTATGTCTGTATGTATGTATGGTGACCCCGCTAGGAGATATAAAGATAAAGTATTAAGGGGCTGAGATCACGTACATAAACTTTTAAATTCTTTATCCAAAATTTCCATTGAAAAGTCCTATGAAACTCTCGCAGTGTCTCTTTTCATGTCATTCGTGGCTTTTTAATATATGTAATATATAATATATTTAATATGAATTTAATATCTGCTTAAGAGTAAGAGATACCAGAGAGTATCCAAGTTGCGCACATCTTGAATATGCCTTCAGTTTGCTCATCGTTCATCTGGCCATCGCTGGTTGTTATTGTTGCTGCCATTGCTGTTGTTTTTAGCCAATTTTGGTCAATATTTAAGTGGCGGCGAATGCCTTCCACTTCCAGTTCTACTTCTACTTTGCCAGGCACTTCAGTGCTCTGTGTCTATGTCCCATGTCTATGTCTAGTTCCTGTCTCCCGTCTCCTGACCGCTCGTCCTCGCATCACCTCATCAACTTAATTTTCGAAAATTTTCACATTGTCCATCTCTGTCTACCGTGCATGCTCTCTCTCTCTCTCTCTCTGACACATTCACTCTGTCTCTTCGGCACTCTCTGTCTTTGTCTTTTATGTCTAATTTTGTGCTGCATTTTACCGGCAGCTATAAAAGCGTATTACCGTTAAATGTTGCACTGTCGAGTCGTCGTCTAATTTACGTTACCCGGGAGCAGTAGGAAGGCTTCAACAGGGTTGTGGTAGTGGGAACGGGGGGCAGATGGCAGGAGTCAGATGAAAGGAAGGATGGGAGTTCCATTGGAGAGGCCACTCTCTCTCTCTCTCCCGCTCTCACTTACTCAGCCACTGCCCACTTTTCATCTTGGCTTGATTGTCATTGCAGGCAGTGCTGCATGGCTTCGGCCTGGCCAGCAAACTGATTAAATTCAGCACGCGCCCTGCGGGCATCTTTGGGAAACTTCTTCCGCAGAGCAAGATGGGAGACAGGGGCCAGAAGGAGCTTGCAACATCATCAGCTTAGTCGGGGAGGAAACTCGACGCTCTACATAAATTTGAAATTAACGTTTTCTAGCACATTGTCTGCCCCTCATCCTGTCTGCCTCTTGACATGGCTGTCTGCTGAACGCCCCACCCCCGTTCCAAGAGTGCTCTTCCAAGAGCTTTCTGCATGCTTTCTGTAATTATCATTTGCCATTCCATTTGGCCCGGAACGCACACGCAGACCAGAAGTACCGACTTGATCTACACTTTGGCTTTTGGGTGTATTTCACCCCATCGTCCGCAGATCTATTCACCGCTCTCCACTCCACGCTTGTAATTAAATGCAAATCTTTCGTCCCGCGTTCACGTCTAATATATTGCCATGATGCCAATGCCGGGGGGCAAATTTTGGCCAGATTTTCAGCTACGTTCCCAATCTTGTCAGCGCTATGTGGCGGCCTACGAAAAAAGGCTGCTGAAATACATGTATAAAGCAAACAACATGGAAATTATCGCCTAGACATGCCATAAAGAACTTCGGCGGTTGATTCACAACGAGTAAAAGTAGAACCGCTACTCAAATACTCTTCATAATGCATATATTTCTCTTTAGCTAGGCATGATTTTGTATCTGGATTAAATGTATTTACGTATGCATGTATATGCTGTTTGCCCTTACATTTATTTGAATGTAACTTAAGTTCTTTTAGAGATTCATTGATACTCTTTTAAATGCATCCATCCTACTGAGAGTAGATATATTTATTTATTTCCTTACTAAGGTGGCTGCTTCTTTACCATCTTTTATGCTCCCATATGTTCGTATTTAAACGTGATATAATTAGTGGTTACAGCATTGTCGTATTTCATTTGAATAAATAAGAATAGAGTGCATTTCCATTTAATTCTTAATATGTTTGCCCCAAAGACATCCAGAATATTATGGGAAGGAAATATAAACCTAACTAAATTACTGTATTAAGTGTATTAAGGATTAATATGATACAAAAGAACCTACAAAAAATATGGACTAGTGCTTTAAAAATAAGAAAATCTTCTAGAACTAGGATAAGACCAAATAAATAAATAAAGTACGTGGTCAATCCCACCCGCACCCAAAAAAAATCAAAACTTCGTTGCAAGATCAATGGGAACGAGCCATATCGTTCAAGCTGTGATGATCCATAATCAAAGCATTGTCTCTATTGGATCGATTAACGAATCACAAGCTAATATGCAAAATGATATAATGACTGTTGAAATCTGTTCAAAGAGTGGATTAGGCAGGGCGAGAAGAGGAGGAGTGAAAGGCAGAGGGGTAGACAGAGAGAGAGAGAGAGAGGTGGTTTGAGTAATTAAGAGCGTCCAAACTTTTGTAGCTTTGGTGAACGGCTCTCGTTGCGATGGCTGCTAATTACAAAAGGCATCCTGGCCAACATCATTTGAGATATTTTTCCATTATCCGACGACGGCATCGTCAGGGACATGGACAGGATGAGAAGGGGCGGCAGGGGCACCCCACATACAAAACATAT